TGAAGTTTAAAGGCAGAACTCCTGCACCTCCTCGTGTACGAATTTAAACAAAAGCATGTCGACTGATTGGTCCACTGTGTGAACAAAAAGGGTAATAAAATGAAATGGAAGCAAACGGAGGATGAAACACCAGCACTGACCAGGAGGAGGACACAAGAACAAGTTTTCCCTGCAGAAACTACCCGACAGGAGCAGACATGTTGACATTGCCATGGATATCATCGTGGTATGACGATTGTAATGTGAACTAGCTTATTTTTCTGGCTGACGTTAGTGAGGCTAAATGTCACACCATCCCGGTCCGTGCTCACAAGATAAACCGCAAGAGACCGATTGAGATCAACCGATGCACGAATTTCAGTTCCTCAAACGTATTCAATCATCAGCCATCTTGAGGCGCCGCTGGAGGACCAGCTGCAAGAGGGACCTGGACCTTCCTTATCAGCCACCATGCAGTCGTACCGGCTCGGTTGCCAGGGAGAGTTTCGGGTAGAGTGTCTGGATGAGCTATTGGGAAAATAGCATGCCCAGCAATCCGGTTGATGCTGTTCTATCAGAGTAAAAGCAGATGTTTGTCCGATGAGTAGCAGTACAGATGTGGGAGCTGTCGATGGGTGTACTGAGTGAAGATATACATTTTTTAAGATTATTTTTTAATTGAAATGCAACCCTTATTGCCGTGTTTTCAGAGGAGAGGTGGGAGCGCTTTAAGAGCTTCATGGTGGAGGACTTAATCCTCGTAGTCAACACACCGATGTCTGCACAGTAAAAACTGACTAGAGTGTTCCCTCCCTCAGAAGATGAAGCCCCCCTTCCCCCCCCTCACACACTGGAGAGGTCTAATGACGAAGTCAAAGCCGCCGTCGGCCAGGGTTCAAGGGGGGGGGTGTAGCAGGTGTTTGGCTCAGCATGCTTGCTAGAGATGATGTCCCAGATACCAAATGATTACTCGTTCATTGTATATGTTATGTATAAATACAGTTTAATTAGCACACTTCTACTCTCAAACGCAGCCCCAGCACCAGAACAAAATGTCAAATGTCACCACTGCAGAAGCATCTCACTCCGTCTACGCCCACAGCTTCTTTTAAACTTATTGATACGGGCAAATAATGTTTTTTCCATTGTACGCTGGGGGTCAGATTAGAAGTCCGAGGGAGTTCAGCGCAGCGCGTTAAATGATGAATTGTACTATTTGTTTGTTATTGGTATGTATGTATATGTACATTCATGTGTATTTAAAGCTTTTAACAATATTAAGCTCAACTTTCCACTCCGATAACACATTTTAACAACATGTGTACACACATTATACTTGTAATGTAATTTAAAGTTTAGCTGTGCTATTTCCCACGTATTGCACCTCCGTGTCTGTGAGTAGATAAGCACACACACTAATTGGCTTTTTCTGTTCAGCCGGATAAATGCCACAGATCAGCAGCCACTGCTGGCTCCACTGAAAATAATGAGCTAATAAAGATAAGGATCATGGGAAGATCGCAGATTGGGGACCACTCATATTCCCAGTGACCGTAGAGGCCCGTTATTGCCCCTATTGTGAAGTAATTACAGACAGGCAGTTCTTTCCATGCCAGCCTTTTAAAATGAAGGCCATGGACACCTTCACGCGAGGCGCGAATGACCTCGCCTCTAAGACCGTGAATTCTTATTGTTGGGGTTCCATTTATTCTGCTGACTCAGTCTTTTCTTTTCAAGGCCTGATTTTGAAAATAGTCAAAAAAACCAAACACCACCTTTGACCTTTTGGCAGCTGGAAGAACAAAACTAAATGTGCTTCTATCAGATCTTCTTGTGTTTAAAACTTCATCCATATCAAATGTTGTACAATCTCAAAAATGAAAATGCCAAGAGCATAACACATCACACAAAGAGAAGAAACAAACCCAGACACACACACACACACACTGCGAAATTGAAGATGATGTCATTGGGGCCGCTGTGTCCGGTCCAGTCAAGATAAACGTTCTTTGGACACTCGTATGTATAACGAGCTGCTCGCCATATATTCTCAGTTTGTTTCCAACATCAATTCAACCACAACTCAAGAGTGTCGTGTTGTTAACCAAATATTTATTTAGTGTCACTTAATTTTACACTTTTGTTCAGATAAAGGAAGCAATAGTAATAATCCAGGAAGTCATAGTGGAGACCTTTTTACCGACAAAAAACATTGAGTCATCGCTAATAAAAATAGCTGCAGTTGTAACTTCTCAGCATCTCCAAGAGGAAATCGAAGCATTGTTGTTACTTTTAGTCTTTTTTGACCATTGTACCAATACAATATATTCACTTCACAGTTTTCAGATAAGGACGAGCAGAACGTCATAAATATTTTAGAAGCTGAAACCCAGCAAATTAAAAATTAAAAAATGAATAATTTATCATCAAAATGGTTTCTAAGTAACTTCCTTTCAACTGATAATTAAAGTAGGTTGTCATCTAAACATCCGCACAGCCGCTGCAGAAATATTAGAACGCTTCTATCCGACGTGGTTGTGTACTAAAAACGGGGCTTAACACCTTTTTTTATTCTCTGCAAAACACCCTCACCCATAATAGGCTCTCATCTCCGAGGAGAGTCCCTAATCCACTGAGAATTAGTTTGCTCGATGCATTCTGTGAATCACGTAATCCCCCCTCACACAACCTGCTCCGTGTGAAAGGTTCGGAGGCACAATGGGAGGCAGAGCTTCTGCAACGCTGAAGTCACGGAGCCGAGCCGCCATTTTCGACGTGAAAAAAGCAGCATCTTTAGGGCGATATTCGCATCCCTGTGCAGGAGGGGCAATAAGGTTGTTTGATAAGGTCTTCGCTTATCTTATCCACGGCTCATTAAACAGTCAAATTTAACGGGGAAATTGGAAATCTTTCGGCCACTGCAAACTGTTAAAAGAGTACAGCTTCCTGACCTGCGGAGACTCTAAACATCGAGAACCAGAGCCACAATGTGTCTTCTGCTGCAGTTTTGTCTTTTTACAGCTTGCCGTGTCCTTTTTCTAACTTTTCACATTTCAGAGAGCAGATGGGTTACAGCCAAGGATTGGCCCGCTGCTGTTCATTCTCATTCCCTTTTTTTTTACCACTGCTTTCCACTCTGGTCGTTCCTACATTGAGGTAATTACCATTCAGCGCTCTCCCGAAGCTCTGGCTGTAAAATTCAATAAGGAACCAAGCAAGATTTAACTCCCAAACTCCCATACGTTGAAGCAGTGAAGCCCTGTTCATTGATTTAATGCTAGCATCCTCCTTCTCTCCTGGCTGATAGAAGCCGACTTCTATCCGTGGATCCGTGGGCTTTGTTTTTTCGAGGAGGACCGTGGAGAGATCTAAAGTGTACAGAGCATCTTATAGACAGTATTTCAGTTGTGTCCGTTAAACAAACGGGCACTAAAGAAATGATTCAATTGAAATATATCTGACTGAGATGATGCAATCGTACCCGTTACGTTAGCTCTACTCGCTACTTTGCTGAGTCACTGGCTTGGCGGGATTATGCCCGTTGACCTGTTTTCTAAATGGAACAGAAACTTAATTTTATGTCATTAATAATTGTGCTCATCCAAAGTTCAAATAAATCACGTCTATATTTTTGAGGTCCGAGCCGGCGAACACATTTTTGTTAAAAATACATTTCTCATCTCAGCCTATTGTCGTTTCTTTGTTTTTTCTTCTTCGTTTTGTACTCAAAATGAGCACATGGGATCGGACTGAAGAGCTGTACATCTAAACTGGAATAATGTTAAGCACCATAATTATAACCCTCTAAAGCACTGACTCCCGCTTTGAACCCACTCAAACATTCACTTGACCCAGTGGAGATTTCAGTCATTAACAGCTCTACGGAGCACAACGCAATCACCTTAATTGAGTCATTTTTCCTTGTTAAAATCTGCATACCAGGACAAGCGTTTCCCGGGTGCACAGCAGGACGTCTGACACCAGGATCACTTCAGCTGAACCAGATAGTGTGTTTGGATGCAGCATTCAGCCACAACTCACCCAGTATCCCTTTGTTGAAGATCACGTCCGTTTGTAAGGATGCGAGGAAAAACACAGTCAGGAACTCGGGCTTGCGGTAAAACCTCCATTACTTTAAAGAATCTTTTGAATGAATGTCAGATGATGCAACCGAAGACCGAGGCAGTGAAACGATCACGCATTCCAATAGCATCCAAATAAACGTGAGAACACGAAGACTTCTCTGTGATCTTGAATTAGCAGAGCGGATGTGGGCATGGCCGTGAATCCTAACTTCAAAATATCTACAAGCTCCCTACGATGTAGACTTCAACGTACGAAAACTCATGTGTTATTTTCTAATAATTAGAGAACAGTTCAGTTGAGAAGTTGTGTCGCTGGTATTAATGCAAAAACAGCCGTACAGCCGCGTGAACAATGTCAGACGGATCCATTTAAATGAACATTTTGCCTCCGCTGAGTACATTTCCTGCCACAAACCACCGAGCGCTTCTCTCCCCGATTGTTCTTGATGAGGAGAAGTCCCTGAAGTCCTCTGTCAGTACGTGGTGAGACGCATCTGCTAATAGCTGTCACAATATGTGTCCTGGTGCATAAAATGTGTAAATAGAGAGACTACATGAGACAGTGACAGAATTAATTAAGATAAAACATTTTCCTCACAGCTGGACATTAAAATGAAGCAAATTCTCATCAATAATAGTCATTTTAAATAAAAACATTGATTTTTTTTATTGGCCTATTATTGGGAATACGAGGAAGGTTGACAGTGAGCTGGACTTTAATCAATAATTAAAAGGGTAACAAGTTTGATTTTGTTTAATGCACCACAGCGGGAACGACTTTAACGATAAAACGGCTGCTGATCAATCGCATTGACACAAAAGTTACTTTGCCGGTTGTTGACATTTCAAAATTTATTTTCTGACTCATTTAAATGATTATTTTCTTCACCACATTTTCCCAAAAGGGCTTCAAGATAGACCAGCAAGGAAACAGTATGAACAATAATAATTAGACTTTATTACATATCGAGTTTGCCGTACAAAAAGAACTGTCCACCATGTTTTTGGAAACGGCTCATGCACATCTATGATGCTTATATTGCCTATATTTACGTTCCCTGGTGTCACAAACTGCTCAATATCTGATTCAAAGCAATTGACTGTAAGTTCCTAACAGTAATCGGGCTGGACAGATAAATCTTGGCTAGCGGTGTTCCCTGGGTTATGTTGGATTAAAGCAGGATGCTTTGGGGTCGTGATGTCACGCACTGTTAAATGGACTTAATACACAGCGAATTCAGGGTAGGACACGAGGACAGCGGTCTGATCGACACGGAAATCACTCAATCAAATGATACACATACATACAAAACACACAATCCTTTGATATTTGTGGTTTATTTTTATTTCACAGCTCCGGGTGCAGCTTTCACACCTGCTTCACAGACTTAAAGAGACCTGCTAGCCCGGCAACATCAAGGCTAAAGAATAACCCCAAAGCAGGACAGATGAAAACCTCTAACTTCTCTGGAAAACACCTTTATGTTTTATTGAGGCCAAAACCCACATAGCAATATTTCCACATGACCACGAAGGTGGGCTTGAGCCAAGAAGACATTCTTACATTGACGAATGACCAAGGCTACCACGGGCCCTTGAATCTGTGAACAAGCGTGCGTCGTCTCCCGCCTGTCGGCGCCGTTCCCTCAGTTGGCTTCATGAAAACGTTCGACACGTCCACCTTCAGTTAGACGTCAGTCAGGAAGGAAGGAGGGCAACAGCTGGTGAACATTCATGTGGATATCGATTACACGTTCTGCTTTTGAGGATGTGCATCCCATCGTGTTGTAAATATGAAAAAGCGATATTCAGGTGTTACTTCATGTTGTAATATATTGTAAAATATTGACACATATGCAGCTGCGTCTGTTCTGCAGCGCTAACGAAGGCCTGCGTTGTGTTGTTTATGCTGGCAGCCACCACTTCACGCACACTGCAGCGTGCTGTTAGAATACTGCATAATTCCCCTCGTCCCCAGATCCAAATTAGCCAACGTGCTTTAGCAGGTAATTGTCGGTTCAGTGGGATGTTGCCTTCGAAGGCTGAAGACCTCGTAAAGATGTGGAAGCAGCGGCGCCAGGAAGGAGATATTAGTCCCCTGCCAGCCGCAACAGGGTACAAATGTGCCTCATCAGAAGAGAAGCTCAGTGCGGCCGAGTCGCCCTCTGAGATGAACATTTCCTTGGGTAAATTTGACACTCTGGGAGATCTGCTAATGATCTCCAGCTCCGACCTTATTGTGTCCGTTAGATTAATGTCTCGCTCGAGGAGGGGAGTGAAACCTCATATCTGTCGTCAACAAATAAACTGTATTTCTGCCCTCTCCACAAGGCCAGTTTATTGGTACCGCTCCAAGAAAATGGCATTCAACCAGGAAGAAGAAAAATATATTCTTTGGAGCAACTGAATAAGGCCGGTCGGGGATCCTGCTGTAGGAATATTTATTAGCGTTCCCCATGTTTGCAGATTACAGTGAGAATGCAAATCCTGAACATTGTGCCGAAGGGCGTTAGATAAGATTCCTTGGGCGGCGAGCAGAGTAGATACAAAGTTAATGGCGCATGGATAAGAGGCAGAAGCCGGTTGTTATTTTGTCTTTTTTAATGACTTAAAATACATTGGATTCCCTCTCGATTTTTGTAATTGAATGCAGAGCTTGACACAAGCTGAAGCCGATAGCAGCAGTCTTTTACCTGACCAGTGGCCCCTGAGGGGGTCGGACTCCCAGCGAGGAGACTTTGTGACACAGTTTTGAACTTTCAGGGGAAAACTACGGAAACCGACTTCATGTAAAAGGTAAAAGGGAAGATGAAGCCTCCGTAGAGTCTTTGGTTCATCTCCTCGCTGCTTTGGATGACGCTCAGTGACGTTCTGTTCATAAGTCATTAATATAAAACAGGGCTGGACCGAGTGGTCACTTTCCGTTATTAACGAGGACGGCACCTTTTTCAATAACTGAAACTCATATTTCTATAGCCAATTATTTTTTCTATTTAGCTGGAATTTAAACTTCACTATCTCCATTTCAGTTCTGTTTAAGTATTTTCTTGTTCTTATCATGCGGGTTTATGCCGGCCAACGTGATGTTAAATCCTGGCATACGCCTTGGAAAAATGGTTCAGTGCAGAAGCCAGGTCCAGTCGTGCCTCACAATCTACAGTCTGTTGGTTTTATTTTCTCTTCTGGAGAGTCAGAAGAAGAAGTGGGAGGAGGAACAACTCAAGTCTATTTCCCCCTTGCAGACAGCACCTTCCCGTAATGATGCAGTTATTTGTACAGACCCCTCCGCCACAACCATCTACAACTGTAAGCCGACTGTGAACGTCCTGCTTCCCGTGACGAAGGCAGGAAACCGCGCGAGGAAATGTGCATCTGACAGGTTTAATGGGCCGTCGGGGTCTCAGGCGGGAAATATCACACTTACTCAATTTAACGGGGGATTAACGTCAACGGACAGATCGAGGTGAGAGATTGTAACTTTCCCTCCTTTCTCATAAGATTCCGTGGAAGTTAGGGGAGAGATTGAAAGATGAAGAGAAACGCTGTAAAACAATATGAGGTCGATTGATTGATTGTATTGATTGACGACGTTTGGATTTTGTGGTGGTGGGGGGAGAGGGGGGGGCAAAGGGGTGGTTGTATTTCATCATTAACAGAGGCTTCACAGATGATCCTTTTCATTAAATGTTCATTAGCTGTAACACATCTGTTTCCAGCTCGTGACGAGAAACAATATTTCATTCAACAAAAGTGATTGATTGAAAACGGAGCGGTGCATTCTGGGGGACGGCGCTTCTTCAGCTCATGTGCAGTTCTTACGTGGAGTTGAAAACGTTGGGCTCAACTCTGCACACCTTATAGGCTCACAGCACAGTTTGTTTTATTCAAGATTTACTCCTTTAAGAAGGTCACGTTAAACGCTAAGAAGCAGTGCTTCAACTACGATGTTGTGCTACATGATCTGAGAGCTCCTCTACAGTTGCTTAAGCGACGGGATTTTAGCTGACAAACACAGGTGGCGGCTGTGGGGCGATGGAGGGAGTACAGATGGATTTCAGAGGTAATTGGAGATGACATTATACGACTGCAGTCGGCATCAAAGAACTTCTCACCAAAGGAGCTCCTGGTTTCCTGGGAAAAGGTTTGGAGAGACCCCTGAAGACCGCAGGCACCCGGCTCCCATTTCCATCTTCTTTAGTGAAGTAGACGCCTGACAACCTGCTGACAATGTGCGTCATCACGCATCAGCTGTCACCGAGGGGAACATGAAAGTGTGTGATTGACAGAAGCATGGATGGCAAGAAAGTTGTAGGTAGAAGAATGAGGAGTAAAATGTGATGGAGTTTTAAATGGCTGGAATTCAAGTTTTCTCTACATAATTATTTTCTTTTTGCAAAAGAAGTACATCTCATTGCAAGAGGCTATGCATCTGCTATCATAGTGTAGTCAGCAGATGTGTGGGCAATGCTTGGCCCATGATTTGCATCTTAAGAGACGAGTTGCGTTTCAAACCAACAAGGAGCTATTTAACTGTCAGACAAGTCTTAACTCCCAATAATGACCCAGTGCTGCTGCCAGACAGCATACAGTATTTATATTTTTGTAAATTGTGGTAGGCACTTACTTACCAGGCAGCTCATTCATCTCCCAGGCACCAAACAGGAGAAACGAAACGAGCTTCTCACCCCTACAACCACCCAGACGGCCTCCAGGCTGTGAGCTACTATCAGGCCGATCCGCTCGGCAGAACCGCCGACCCCGCGGCGAGAAAAGAGGAGAGAGGGAGCTGCTTTCCACCAGTTTTCCTTCTTCACCGCTGCCTAATCAGTCCCCCACCCATCACCCGCACAAACAAACAAAACACAGACAGAAGGTGCAGCGCAACCCTCCGGCAGAGCGGTACGAAGCAGCCACGTTGATTATCGCGTCCTGTGAAATGAACTTGCACCGTCCTTCTGACTGCTGGACAACGAGGATTAAGAGCCAACGATGACGAAATGCTTCAGCGCAAAAGACGCAGCTGGCTTTAATGTCGCAAACCTGCTCGTTGTCACATAATTAAGAAGATGGAAATATCACTGAATGTCAGTGGGGAGGCTGTGTTAAAAAGTGCCAGTGGGACGTGAGGGTTAAAGCCACGCATGTCTCAACTACCGCGCCAACAACACGTACACATTGCATGCATTTAGTTATTTTTTTTATTTTGGTCAGCGATTCATTTCCGTGTCGTCCGCCACGACCCACACAGAGGGAATATTAACAAAGGAAAAGCCCCATAGTCAGGATTAGCAAGGCTTCCCCAATTATCTTCTTTCCCTTTCCATGGAACCATATCAAAGGGTTTTTGCGCTCGCTGGAGAGAAAAAGGCAAGAAAATGCGTTTAAATGTCTCGTCCATATTAATAACAGATAAGATCCGGCTGTGGAAGGGTCACGCCCTGAAGGATGCACGGTGAAACACGCGGCACGTCTTTCTTTGACTCACTCAAATGGATGCCGCTTCATTGCACTGAAAAAAGGCTGTTGAGCGTTGTGCACCCGAGTAGCACTAAACGTCTCTGCTGAACCCACATATCCACAATATCCAGGGTAAGTAATCACTTCCTTGTCTGCCTGGGCATCTGCAACCAACAGTTATTTGCTGCATCAATTGATCTGGCAATTATTTTCTGCATTAATCGGCAAAATGATTGGTCTCTTAAATATCAAGATCACACAGCTTTCATGCCTTTTAGTGTGGATAGTTCGACGATAATCACGGAGGAAGTGAACAACGTAACACAAAACACAGCTTCCCTGCTGAATTATTGAAAGAACGCGGCGCAGAGTGCGCCTCATTGACCTGTTTGTAGTCGTGCTTTGTCCTGGTCCTCCACATTGTGCTCTGTCAGGCCACACGCCGGCCAATTTAGAGGCATTAGAAATTATTTTCCTGATGCTCAGAACATATATCTTATGCCTTGTATGCCTCGTACATTTGATAATGTGAAATATTTTCAGAATTTAATGTCAAAATAGCAAAGTTGGGATGTGTGTTGTAAAGTTTGGGGGCTTCCACTTGTCGGAAGTCTGTTTTTACATCACATTACATAACGGTTGAACTGCCTCAGGCGTCTGGCAGATGTTTCACTCAGAACAGCTTTCTTGTTGTGGGTGTGTGTGTGTGTGTGTGTGTGTGTGTGTGTGTGTGTGTGTGTGTGAGAGAGAGCTTAAGCTGCGTGCAGGTGAAGACGAGAAAATTATTAACATTTTTTACTTTAGAGAACAATAAAACCCGTCCTCGTCATCCTCTTTACACTTGTTAACTACAACAAAACTTGTTTAAGTTGGGAAATCCAAATGGTGCGAGGTATTGCCTTCTAATTTCACTGAGCGCATGATTAAAACGGTTAGTTTAGGAGAATATACGAGCATCATAACAAGTGTGCGCCTGATACACTTGGTCGCCCCTCTAATCTTTTTTTAACGATATTTTCAATGCAAATCGTTAAATAAATAATGAAATCAGTGTATCGTGTGCCAGTAAATGATTAATGTCTCTGAACAATGCAAATCTTTGAACAACCGCCTCAGAATTACACGCTCCGTTGAGAAAATAAAAGGTGCATTTCCTGTGCAGCTCTGCAAATATCTACTGCGGTCTGAAGACCGATGTGATGGTATTAGGAGACCGCTGCACCCCCCCAATTAAATGATACCAAAGCAATAAACACATTCGGTTCCCAGAGTCCTTTCCATCAATTCTCTCAAAATATTCCATTTGTTCATCTTTTCTCTCCGATCACAAAATACGACCTCATTCCAGGAGTCATCCCGCCTCCGGTTCCGCTGAATGTGTTCAATCATCAATATACCATTTCATGGATTTCTTTCTATAGAAAGGACACACGCACTTCTCTGTGGTTTTGTGAGACACGCAGAGCAACGTTGATATAAAATGTTTCCCCTCTTTGTGATTTGATGGGTTTTTCTCTGGTGGCTTGCTGCTCATATTGAGGTCATTCTTTTATGTTGCCACACACACACACACACACACACACATTAACAGACCTTAAAGAACTCCTGTGTGCCCGTCAGGACCCTCAAACGCACCACCGGGCATGCAGACTACTTTGGTCAAGGCTTCAGTCTCCCATTTTTGTTTTCTTTTATAACCTGCACTGATTGTACATGTTGCGTATGAACATGGATCTTGAAATGTCATTTGCAGGAGAAGTGGTTTTGGCAGCTGTAAAGTTGGCACAGTTTACTCGGTCTAGTCTGAACACTAAAAAACTAAGGTTCTATGCAGCACACTGAATTCTAACAACCTAAAAAAAAGTATAAAGCTTTGGACCAAAACTAAGACAAATGAAGTTGGGATTTACAAAACATGCAAAGAAGCCTTTGTTAAGGTCTTTGCTCGACATTCTCCATTTGAATCAACATGATGTACCAGTCAGCCAAAGTAAATAGAACTGAACTTAACTTTAATGTCAGTAATCCAGCAGACCATCTGTTTGGCTGTCAGGCCGATGTTCACGGGGGAATCGACGCAGCCGCTGAATAGTTTTCCTGCATCACGCGCCAAGCGAGGATGAAGAATCATTGTTCCTGCCTCTGTCGACCTCAAAAGAATCCTGTACTTCACATAGTGGCAATTACAAAGTCGTGCAGCCTTTCAGGACAGATGGCAGCTGCTTTATGAAATGATTCACCGGCCTGAAAGATCACTGCCATCCATTGCTCAGAACAGCGCGCAGGATGAGCTCAAATCCTCCAAAAGGTTAAGATTAAGTTTGCGATAGTAACGACGCTGCTGTAACGGATGTTTATAAGACACAAAGCAGTTTATCCTCCCACGGTTATGGAGGGATTGGCTGCTGTTTGGTAACCACTCATTCCACAATTGGAACATTGGTTTCCTGTTCAAGCTCATTTTTATCAACTGTTGCAAGGTCATAAATGCATCCGATAACACCTGGAAATCATTTCTCCAGTCCTTGCAAAAATGTTCCCAGAATGAAATACTAAGTTATCCATCAGAGCAATGAGCAGCATCTGGATGAGTCAGGCGGCACTCAAGACTTTGTTTACTTCCCCTCCTGCCCTTGGAAGCAGGTTAGAGGCCGCGAGCACTACGCCGTCTTTAGGACCAACATCAACTTGGCACATCTCCGGGAGGAAGAACCCTACGCCGCCACATTGCATCTAATTAGACTAATTCCATTTTCCAAGTGCCTTCTCTCATGTTACCAAACCTTTCTGTGTTTTGCGTAGACAGCGATATCACTGCAGTGGGAAGGGTCGTGAAACGTGGCGTTATCTACAGACACTTCAATCAGTCAGGCGGTAATGAAGTCGCTGCTGGTTGAGTTGTTTATTGAGGAGTTCCTCGCCATGCTAATGGTGTTTTTGCCTCATTAAGCCGCATGGCGTGGGCAGATACTCTGCGTTTGGGGCTACCTGTGCTGCTTGCACCGTGGCTTCAGGTAACGATTTGCTTTTGCGTCCTGTTGATGGAACATATCACCTTCTGTTCAACATGCCTACGGAGCTCATCAGTTCCATAACAATTTGTGTTTATTTCACCCGTATGACAACAATAAGTTACCACAACAAAGTCCATTTTAGCGTCGTGTCATTATCTCCGTGAGAGCGTTCGTCTCTTAATATGACATAGTCCCCCAAACACAAGCAGAGGGGGGTGTTTGTCTAAAAATGAATTAGCCTGACAGTTATTTTCTTCATCTGTAAACAAAACCTTCAACTAAGTAGTGAGTGAGGAGTGCTGGCCCGTAAATCATGAAGCATCTCTGCGGAGACCTTTACCTTTAACGACCACAGTGATGGATGGCGGCGTTGGTGCAGGTTGATGAGGTCAGAGGAGGAAAGCGGAAGAACCTTCATAGTGCACACAGGGAACAAGTTGTGTTGAACCTTTAACGATGTGTTTCTAGCTGCATCGCGGTGCATTTGAGGTCGGCATACACACTAACGACCACAAACCCGGTCCACTTTCTGCAGAGGGGGGCGTCGGCAGAACTAAAGGTTACAGTCGCTGGCAAAACAAACTGCTGCTCTGGCTTCTTTTTTTTTAAATGTTTTTTTAGTGCGTACGTACTCGCTATCCATATGAATCTAATGCTTTAAAAACCTCCTGTGCACAACAGTCTGCAATTAGTCTAAAATATTACACGGTTCGTTTAGTTGCTTTGGAGATCTTCGGTTTTACAGCCGCTCAAATGGCCTCTAAATCTCACCGTCGATTCAGCCTTCATTGCCGCTGTTTCCCCACAGCCGTGTTTGTTAATGTTCTTCTCAATTTTTATCACCACTTATGGTGTTTTCCCTGGATCATAAATAACAATTTAATCTAAAAAAAATCCCCACATTTGAAGTTCTTTCTCTAAAAGTGTTCCGTTGTGTGCGTTTACGTAGTCTGGGGCGGTCGACGCGGCGCAGAATGTCACCCAGACACCATCACGCCGCCGTATGAGGATATGAACTGATACCTTAGTGGTACATTGTGCAGGGAATGTGCATTTTCCCCAAAACATTTTATCAATGAAATTACCAACTTGTTTTATTTGGACTATTATTTGGATTTAGAAAAACTCAACAACCTTCTTTCTAACATGTTTGACTTAATGTAGTTCCGGTGCTTTATGAGCACTGTATTCCTGAGACAACATGATTGATGTCGACATAGTGATTAAAACTGCCTCCTACAAAGTACATCACTCGACTCTCCGGCTCGACTGGCGCCGGGGCGAACTCAGAGATACCGCCAAGAAAAAAGAAAGCATCGGACAAACGATCGACGTAGAAAGTATGCCAGAGAGCTCAGAGTTTACGAGCCGATTTGACACATTTATTGCTTTGCTCTGATTTAATTTTTCACCTGGTCAGAGATGGTTGTGTATCACCGCGGCGTTAAAGTGTTGTAGACCTGCAGAATACGACGTGTGACCCTCATGGATTCAGCCAAAGCCAAACATCTCAGCATTTGCGACTCTTCCTTAATAAGCCCAGTGTTCTAGATGTTTAGAGAAGGTTGCACAAAGGATGTATTTTGGGGTAATTGTTTATTTTGCTAATTAAAGCCACCTTGCTTAGTGAAATGTAGAGGGTACAAGTGAAAGACACATGCAGTATTTTGTTAAGCTTCTGGGATACTCAATAAGAGCGAGGTTACTTTTAAATAGCTTGAATCCACATTAGACCTTAGCTGGAGAACGGTCGATAGCCAGCGTGCTCTGTGCATGCAGAACGTAACAAAAGAGTTTTCTAAAGGAACCAATAGGTGTCAGTGGATGAGTTTGCCACTGATGGATTAAACCCGTGACTTTCTAACTACAGCACAGTATCTTCAAACCTCAAGGGCGCCCCGTCTCTACTCCATCAAAGTCATCAAACTGTGACAGACATCTCCACTTTTGCTGTTTAAGGACAAGAATATTTAGGTTTTTTTTTGTCGGTTGTCCTTGGACGTCACTTTGTCATCTCACTTTCTGCCGCATCTCCTCCTGCTTGCCAAGACGTCTGAGTGCTCCCAGGCTCGGGTATCCCATGTCCTCTGAAGCTCAGTCGAGGAGAGATACACTAAAACCGGCAGGATTAAGGGTTTTATTACTGTGTGGCTCAATGGATGGAGCACCGCCCTCACGCCGCCAAGGTTAGGGGGCCGCCGCTGTTGTGTGACAGCCCATCAAAATCCCGATCCGGCCAAGACGCTGCCCAGGAAAAAAACACTTGTTTTCCAAATCCAATATATAATGCAGGCAGGCACCGGTCGCACATGGCTGGTTGCTGTGGAAACACAGTCTGTGCGCGGTGGACACAAGTGAAATTGCCAAATGCAATGAAGTGTGTTGTATGTTTGTACCTGAGCAGCGTTAATAACCTGAATAGAGGGGAGTGGAAAGCGGTCTCACAGCTGCCATTCGTTATTTTCATTAGTTTTTCTTTAAAAGGGTTTTCATTACCAATTTCCATTGGCCAGTTAAAGATAAAATGAAAGAAATATAAATGAAATATCAAAAAACATCACTTAGTACAACAGCAATAAGGATCGAGGTAGTTGGTCCTAAACCACCTCATCGACTTTATAGAAAAAGTCTTGTTAAAAGGGCAGAAAATAGGTCCAATTTTATAATATATATAAGTTAAACAGTTGTCTTTGTCATTAGTAATTCAAGGAAAACCTCGAAACAGTTAGTAGAGTAGAGTAGTTTGTCTATTTTCATGCTTGTTTTTTCTGAACACCCAAATATATTCAAATCATCGTAACGTCTTCAGCAGAGAAAAAACTCAAAAACGTATCATTATCATTATCATTTTAGAAAATAATCTGCACTTGTATTATTTATAACTAAATACTCTAAAATTTATTTGATTATCAAAATAAAGTAAATGCTAAAACTCTAATTACATCACAATAATATATGAATAATAATACAACACATTAAATTAAATATTGACCTCTATGTTGAATCTTTATCCGTCTCTGGCTCCAAATGTGTTGCTCCCTTTCTCCTCTG